CTAGTGAGGCTGTCACCTTATCTGTTTTTCCTTAGTCTCCGTTACCAAGACCTCCTCCCCTTAAAAGAGAAATATAGTCCTCTAAATTGGATTTATCAATAGTCATAAACAGATGTGGTTATTTGACATTTATTTCCTCTTCTGGCTCCCATGTGGCTTTTTCAGCCGAATAATACTGCCATAGTACCTTTATGAAGGATATTAACTTAGACTGTCATATCATTTCTTTGTAATCCACTATCTGTATAGGAAACTTAATGTAGGATAAGATATCGTAAAGTGCAAGGGGTTCATATCGGTGTACATGTGATGGATCTGGATGATATTTCTTCAACATCGATATATGAAAGATATTGTGTATGTTGACTAACTCAGATGGTAATGTTAAGCACTACGCGACAAATCCCACTCTATCTAATATCTCAAAAGGTTCGATAAATCGATGACTTAGTTTTTCTTTCTTCCCAAATTTCATAATCCCTTTAATCGGTAAGATTTTCAGAAATACATGGTCGCCTACTTCGAATTCTAAATCTCTTATTTGATTGTCAGCATAACTTTTTTACCTATTTTGAGCTGTCAGAAGATGTTTCCTGATCAATTTCACATTCTCTGTAGTTTCTTCCACTAATTCAAGTCCAACCAATTTTCATTCTCCAACTTCTTCCCAACAAATAGGTGATTTGTAGGGTCTTTCATACAATGCCTCATAGGGTACCATTTGAATATTGAACTGATAGCTATTGTTATATGCGAACTCAATAAGAGGTAAATGATTGTCCCAATTACCTCGCAATTCAATGACGTATGCTCATAACATATCTTTTAGAGTTTGAATTGTTCGTTCTGATTGACTATCCATATGAGGATGGAAAGCCGTATCAAAAGATAGTTTGGTCCCCATAGCATTCTGTAGATTGGGCTAAAATCTTAAAATAAAGCAAGGATCTCGCTCCGAGATGATTGTGATTGGTATTCCATACAATCTCACTGATATAGAGTTTGACTAACTTGTCTAGTGAGTCATTTACTCTGATAGCTAGAAAATGAGCAAACTTAGTTAATTTATTAACGATAACCCAAATAGCATCATATTGGGATCTTGTTTTAGGTAGACCCACCACGAAATCCATGGTAATGTGTTCCCATTTCCACTATGTTATCAGCAACGGCTAAAATAGTCCTGCTAGTCTCTGATGTTCAATCTTCACTTATTGGCATATCAGACATTTAGAAACGAACTTTGCTATATCCTTCTTCATCCCACTCCATCGGTATTTGATCCTCAAGTTTTAATACATTTTAGTATTGTCAGGGTGCATAACAAATCTAGAGCAGTGCACTTCTTCTAATATCTCATTTTTTAGACTATTATTATTCGACACGTGCTCTATTTCCAAGCCTCAATACACCATCTTCTAATAGTCTAAATTCTTGCCTAAGTCCCTTACTAACATCTTCCATAATCAACTTCAAGGTAAGATCAGACCGTTAGGCTTTTCTAATTTTCTGCATCAAAATGAGTTGTACTTTTATATTGGCTAGGTATCTTCCTGATCTCTTATATTGGACATTCAGATTCAATTTCTAGAACTCCTCTACGAGTCTCCACTATGAGGCCATTATGTAGGTAAGAGTGCAAGTACTCTTCATATTAAGTGCATTTACAACCATATTGCCTTTTTCCGGATGGTATAGGATCTTACAATCATAATCCTTTAGTAAATTCATCCATCTCAGTTGGCGCGTATTAAGTTCTTTATGCTAGAACAAATACTTCAAACTCTTATAGTCTGTGTGAATCCCTAAACTTTCACCATATAGATAATGATGCCAGATCTTTAAAGCAAAAACTATGACGGGTAGTTCTAAGTCATGTGTAGAATAGTTTTGCTCATGATTCTTTAATTGTCTAGATCCATAAGCTATCACTTTTTTATATTGCATTAACACACATCCCAATCCTTGTTTTAAAACATCACTGTAGATAGATAATCTATCAATACCGTTAGGAATAGTCAATACTGGGGGCTGTTGTCAACCGCTTCTTCAGCTCTTGAAAATCTTGTTCGCATTTGTCATTCCGCTCAAACTTATTTTAGGTCCACTTCAAAACTATGTAGGCTATGGATCCATAATATCCACTTACCTTAGGTCCTTAGCAGTCGTAGTCTTAATTTCGGCAAAATTTTAGTTTTATTTATGATTTTTTCATCTAAAAAATACAGTAGAGTTTTGGGATGATTTTTGGTCACTTTATTGGCTAAAAAATATCTAATACAATATTCAAAAATTAATCCCAAAAATAAAAAAAAAATCGAACTTCAAAACTTAAGAAAAAGCTTATAGTTCTAACAGTTTATAACTTCTTTTTAATCGTGAGCCTTATTCCTATTCTCTTCATCTTTCTTTGCTCTCACAAATTTAGTAGAGTTTCCTCAAACTTTTTTATGTAAAACTTTAAAATATTTTCAAAATCACACACTTCGTACTCTATTTTTTTCTTTCACCTCTATGCTTCTCATTATTTTTTTCTCATATGAAATGTCTCTTCCTTCCTTCTCCTATCCCTTATTTATAGGAGTGGGGAGTCACGAGAGAAAGGTTATCACAATTCCGTCAAACAATTGTATCTAAAAGTTGTCATATTTCATCATGTCATTTCACCTAAAAAGTTACAACTATTCACATGTTATTTTATCTAAAAGACATTTTCATATGCCATTTCATCTAAAAGTTATCACTTTTCACATGTCACTTCATCTAAAAATTGTCATTTTTCGTTATATCATTTCATTTAAAATGTTTCTATATTTTTTTATGTCTTTTTCTGTTTATTTCTACTTCTTCATTCTTATCCATCATTTTTTTTGTTTGACTATAAACTATCTTCTTAATTTTATTATATATTTTCGAATATATATAAAGATTAAATTAAATATATTAAATATAAAAAATTAACTCTGAAAGTATTTTCAAATTATCACCTTATGGATATGAAATATTTTTACATGATTTAAAGTATATTTATTTATATTGAACAACTTTATTCTTCTTTGTTTCACTTTCTACAATAGCCAACTGATTTTATGTCATATGGCGTTTGAATTACAGGTATAAAAATCTTTCAATTATTAATTAACGAATTTGGGATGTGTCACATCTTTCCATTTTACCCCGTC